ACCTTTAGTCTCTCTCTGCAACATTCATCTCAGGGTTTCTCTTGATATCATAGATGGAACCCAGTCCAGAACCTTTAGTCTTTCTCTGCAACATTCTTCTCACGGTTTCTCTTGATATCATAGATGGAACCCAGTCCAGAACCTTTAGTCTCTCTCTGCAACATTCATCTCACGGTTTCTCTTGATATCACAGATGGAACCTAGTCCAGAACCTTTAGTCTCTCTCTGCAACATTCATCTCAGGGTTTCTCTTGATATCATAGATGGAACCCAGTCCAGAACCTTTAGTCTCTCTCTGCAACATTCATCTCAGGGTTTCTCTTGATATCATCGATGGAACCCAGTCCAGAACCTTTAGTTTCTCTCTGCAACATTCATCTCAGGGTTTCTCTTGATATCACAGATGGAACCCAGTCCAGAACCTTTAGTCTCTCTATGCAACATTCATCTCAGGGTTTCTCTTGGACATTCTTGTTTCCTCAGTCAATATCAGAAATACAGGAATCACATTTACACAGCTGTTTTTAAGTTATATTCATATATAATCAATACAGAAATACTGATAGCTTCTGCTGAGTCAACAATATTAGTGAAAAGTTACTGTTGACAAACTTATCTTTCTCCTACAAACTGTATGGACATCATAAAGCTAGTCAAGAGTTATACATTTTAAACTATAAATACCGGAAACTATTTTCACATTTATAGACCATAAACAACAGCAAAGGGCCATTTGAATTGAACAGATGGCATAAAGTAAACTTAGCAGAGGAAATAATGTAGACGCATGTAACTTGGAATATAAAAAACATAATTAACATGTTCAAGTGCTGCCACATCCTATACTGGTTGGCATCTTTTTGTCTTGCCAGACCAAAGTGTTATACTCAGCTATACGGAAAAGACAAAAATCTTTAGGGGCAGGACAGCATGGCATATGATACCACAACATCTACCATGAGAATGGAGGTGGAAGCGGTCGCTGCAGCTTGCCGGTGGCTAGTGAACAAGATACATACATATTTCATAATTGTAACAGACTCTGAAAGCATGCTGGAAAAGGTGAAGACAGGACTGCTTCAAACAGAGTGGCAAGCTTCACTTGCAAGGTCACGGGTAGTGAGCATACTTTGGATCTTTTCTCCAGGTCATGCTGGCGGGGTGGGAAATAAACGAGCAGACAGACTGGCTGGATCTGCACCCCTAGGTGGTGTATAGATACATGACAAGGCAGATGTGATTAGAGTCCTTTCGGAACAAGTAATGAAGTTAGAAGAGAGTTTAGATTATGGGCCGGAAAGAATGATGCACCTGGCTGTGACCAGAGGGTTAGGCCAGCACACTACACTCAGAGGAAAGGCAAGACAGACATACAAACAGATTATGACTGGCACCATTAATACTGGAACTCTGCGCTGGCTGCTGAGGATGGGGACGGAGCGAATATGGGAATACCTCGAGTGCTGTGATGTCAATTCTTGACTCAACTCAAGGGAAAGACAAGCACTGTTCTTTGGTCATGCGATGATGGGGCAGGCTTTAGAGAATACTGTGGTGACTGGGAAGATCAACAGTAGAAGAGGGAGAGGTAGACAGAGAGAGAGATGATGATGATGGATGGACTGCGACGGTGGCACTGAGGGATATCATCTGTGGAATTGATCCAAAGAACAAGGGACAGAGACCTGTAGAGATACACGAACTCCTTCTTCTCTTTTACTCCTACATCCTACACAAGTGTCAATATTTGGTCAAATGAGTGAAAAATACACACAAGTCTATGGTTAAGGTGCTTGACAACAGAGATCAGAGATCAGGACTGTATATTATACTCTTGTATATTATTAGCAACTTATGTTGTTTATTTAATTTGTGTTGCTTATCTGTTTGAGCTTTCCATATGCATCTTGCCTAATATTGCTTAAAAGGCTTATTTTACTAGCTCACCTGTTCTATTGGTAAACCCTATACATTTTATTTGTCTTTTCTTTACTGTTTCAAGTTTCTTGCTACTAGACATAAATATTTTCTTCAACCTGTGGGTTGCGACCCATTTTGGGGGTCGAACGACCCTTTCACAGGAGTCACCTAAGACCATTGGAAAACACATATTCACCGAAGTTGTGAAGCAGCAATGAAAATAATGATATGGTTGAGGGTGACCACAGCATGAGGAACTGTATAAAAGGGTCACAGCATTAGGAAGTTTGAGAACCCCTGTTCTAGCCAACTATAGCTCAGTCAGTTACTGGTTTCATGATCTAACGGAGACACGACTCGTGACACCAGGATGCTCATACAGACACATTGCAACAAACACATTGCAAACTATGATCTGCTATATGAAAATAATATTTACGTTATTGCAGCAATAAAATTATTAATACATTTGTCACATTTTTTTTTTAATTGAGAAGAAAAGAAGCCATTATTTTTGTGCAAGCTTCTGGAAGGCAAAATTTTGAACAGTCATACAAGTTTCTTAATTAAACACCATGAGAAGGTGAACAGTAAATATTGTTAAGCTTCTTTCTAAACTATATCTCCAAAAATGCAGCCTGTGATCATCAAATGTAATATGTATTCAATACTAATGTGTGGAGCAGAAACATGTATCTTGAAGCACAAAACTGAGTATTCTGAAAGGTGGGTTATCTGAAGAAAAAAGTAATTGTTTCTTAGATAAAAAAAAAAAAAAAAAAAAGACAAGTATCTAGCTAGAATAACTTGATTAAAAAAAGGAGTTTGCAAAAAAACAATAATGATAGGAGAAAGTCAAGGTACTTTGGCCACAACAAATGACATTATGTACTGAAACTGTCATGAAAAAAATGGTGAAGGCAAAACAGCCAGAGCGTGTCAAAGACATTAGTTGGCAGACAGCATCAAGAACACAGTGTGGCGGAATGTACAACAAATACTTAGCTCACAAACTGCAAGAGATCCATTATTGATAATATTGACTGAGGAGATGACACTAGATGCACGATAAAAAAAGAAATATGGAAGTTACAGAATCATAACTGATTAATAACAGAAGAGGTAACCTGTCCATCTGTTGCATTAAAGGTCTAGAGCTCAAATCTTTCTTGTTCATAGTATGAAAATATCCAATGTTGTCAATATATCAAGCTAAAGAGTATCATCGTGTCAAACAAGTGAGACCCGCAAAATATTTGTTGTAAAAATTATAGGCAGAAACTGAGGAAATATAAATTTAATAAGACAAAAAAAAACAGAGACACAATTATGTGTTGTCATAATTGCTACTCAACTTACAAACACGACAGCAGAACAAAGCTGACAAAGTCTGCAGTTAGTAAAACAAAATGGACCATTTGTTTAAATTCAGCAAATACTGTGAGCAAATAACAATTAGTGTACACTCAGAAAAAAAAAACACATTTCAAATAAAGATAAAAATTTACACATCAGATAAATATATATTTATATATACAATAAAAATAAGACAAACTTATTTTGGGGGGTACATGGAATCTAAAAGAAACAGATTTCTATAAGTATAGAATATTTGACTTATTTGACACTTCTCAGTTTTGCAAGCATTTTATTACTAGATTCAAATGCTTACAGTGTTTTCAGGGTATATGAAATCTCAACACGTCTTCCATAAGTGAAGATATTTTGCTGCCATTAATTGACAAAACTACTTATTTGAGACATCCATTTTATAAACATTGCATTTTCAAATTGAGATGTTTTCAGTATTTTGAGGATATCAATTTTACTGTAAAAGGACAGTTTTTCAGACATCAGATGTATTGGGTATATAGTTATATAGTACTAGACCTATATTTTATAGACTTATCGGCATTTGGTCGTTGGCAACTAGACGCCTGCCTGCGGATCACAAGGTTGTTGGTTTGGGTCCTGAAGAGGGTTGGATTTTTTTTTCAAAAATGACCTTGACTCCCAGGTCGACCTAGCCTTGAGCGGGTACCAGGTACAGTCCTGGCAAGTAAAGGTGGCCGGCATGATGCTGACTGAATCAAACACCAAGTGCCTTTGGTCTATAAAATATAGGTCTAGCCCTATATACCCAATACGCCTGAAAGGCGTGGAAAAGGGTCCTTTACTTTTATCGCGCTTAGTGGGTAATGTGGTCAACATTATGCCAGGCACCTTTACTCTCCAGGACTTTACCTGGTACTCATTTTAGGCTAGGCCGGTCTGGAAGTCATAGTCATTTTTTAATTAAAAAATTCATGCAGATTTGAACCTACAACCTTTGGACCGGAGGCAAGTGTCTAGCCGCTAAACTACGATAACTCTCAATATTACTGAACCACCAAACATTCATATCCTGAGCTGTGATACACCATTTCTGGTGATATTTCATACGCTGAGTTGGGATATAAATTATACTTCTGAAACAATTTAATATCAAGCATCTCATTCCCCAAAATATTATTCCGTATCATATATTTATCATAAGAAAACTCAAAATAAAAATGGACTCATCATGTAAGGAATACCTGACCAGTGTATGGTGATCTGTTGCATATAGAATGAGTTTAAAAAAAAAATTAATTTCCCGGGTAGAAAGGATTATTGAATTTTGGCAACAAGTTAATACTTCAAAATCACATTTGCTTCTCTGTTTCACAACTGTTTCTAATTTGTATTAGAAAAGATGAGTTTAAATATCAAATATTTTTTTATATTTAAAGAAAAAATAAATTATTCACTCTTGGAAATGGTAAATAAAACTAAATTAGTTTGAATTATGTTTGTCAGAAAGGGTGATTTTAAATACTGTAAAAGTTCTGCATGTTTGACAGCAGGAAAAGTTCGTCATTCACTCATGAAAATGGCAAACAGATACTGACTTAACATGTATTATATCTATAGGAAAAGAGGATTTTAAATATTGTAAATGTTTCAGGATATCTGACAAGTAGGGAAAGTTCACCATTCACTCGTAGAAATGCTAAATACAACCTGCGCCTACTCGGATGTCCTAGGACTAGTTCATGATTTCAAGTGCCTGGAATGTCCACCCCAAGCAGGTAGGTACAGATAGCAATAAAGTGACAGAATGATCCAACAAACACAAAACAATGCCAGATTGCATGGGCAAAGGGAATGACACCATCACTCTTGAAGAAGGCCACACCAAGGATGTACATGAGACCGCCGACACTGAGTTCCATCAGTCCTGACCAGTCTTTCTGTATGAAGCAAAACATATCTATGATATAATACATCCATACAACAAATGTGTTTATAGTTTTTATTTTGCTCGGCACCAGGCAAACCACGATATGTTCATTGATTGCTCATAGGTCAGCAGCTGTGGCTTCGGTGTTGCAAGCGCACTCTGTAATTCCAAGATGCTGGATTGAATCTAAGCTGTGGACCGCTGTGGTTTCAACAGTGACAGCCAACTGTTCAGTAAGCAATGGCAAAACGTAAAATTGCCTTGTGAAATCACAAACGGCCAAAGGAAAATATGCTGGGGTTGGTTCTATAAAACCCTGTAAAGGATACACATCTTTACAAAAATGCATCATAAACATTCGCTAACTTCTGTCCTGTTCTTTCGTTATGTCCATTATATTTCTACAACGTTAGTTCACTGAGGCTCAAAGCTGTTGCTCTTGTTAGTTCACCAAGGCTCAAAGCTGTTGCTCTTGTTAGTTCACTGAGGCTAAAAGCTGTTGCTCTTGTTAGTTCCCCGAGGCTCAAAGCTGTTGTTCTTGTTAGTTCACCGAGGCTCAAAGCTGTTGCTCTAATGGGGAGAGTTTGAAACTGCTGAAGTAACAACTGCCTGCTACTCAGTGTTTTTCTTCTTCTTCTTATTGTTCACATGCTGTCAACTCTGGCAGAAAGTTCTAGCTGTTCGTCCACTCCTGGACTTGAGTCTTGATACAGAACTGAGTTTTGAGAGCATATTTGTAATACAGATTTGGCTTATCTGTATGTAGAATGCTGGTTTTTCGCCTCTTAGGCAGATACCCTCCGACTTTAAAGGAAATGCTCCTAATTGGCCACTTTCTACAACAAGCTAGTGAAGGGAGCGGTGGTTCTATTCCTCATTCTCCAAAATGGAGTATCAGAACCGATACGGGAAACTAAAAGAGCTGAAATGAAAGAAAAGGACACTTAGTTCTGTACAAAGCTGACAGTTTTCAGAGAGAAAAAAGCCAGAAAGTGTTTACTGGTGAGAGGATCAGCTTAATTGTACTGGCATTCCTTTGTGGGTTCCAGGGCCGAATTGTGCGGAAAACAAGAACAGACCCAATGCCTCCTTAACCCTTTGAAGACAGAGCCTTTTTGGAGAGGTAGTGCCAAGAAGAGGGAGAATTCAGGAGGGGATTCTAATTGCTTATACACACAAAAGTTAAAAAAATAAAGCGTTTTATTAACATATAATAAACGATATATTCGTAAAGGAAATTGAATAAACTAACATTAACAGAATACTTAGGAATCAAACTGAAATCTCAACATTTATTCAAATTAACTTTTCTGATTTGCATAATTTATGCAAGTATTTTTGTTTTTAAACTTGGGAACAAACCTGAAAAATGTGGGTCAATATTTTTAATGGATGAAGCCTTAATAAGTCCTAACACTTGTGTTTTAGAAAGTAAGGCCCTTGGAGGCCTTTCAGACACTTCTGGCACTTTGTTCTGCTCGCTTTCCTGCCTCCGGTTATGTTTCAGTTGCTATGACACAACAGTCATTTTTGCCATTGTTGGGCATAGGTAAACGCCAGAAACAATCAATGTAAAATTACAGATCACATCAAATATTCTCGAAAGCAGTCTATGAACAGCCCACATGTGCAAGAAATGCGAGAAGCAATCTGACTGGCAGGTACAAAGACCTGCCAGTCAATTTTAAGGCCTGTATTATAAAGGGCTGACCGATCGGGCCCAGTCGTCCTTCTGGCTACTTTGTTCTGGGCCGATATTTCGGCCATGTCTTCTCCAAAGGGGTAACAGGCATGTTGGAGGAGTTCACAAATTATGCTCCTTCTAAGTTGGAGTGCATCCGCCTAGGAAGGCATTGGGTCTATTCTTGTCCTCCCCCCCCCCCCCTCTCTCTCTCTCTCTCCCCCCCCAAGAGACTCCGAAACCCATACAAGGAAACGCAGAGTAAAGTTCTAGACCGTTGTTATTACCTATCATTATTTTAGCCTTGTTACTGATTGAACTTCTTAGAGGTTAATGAATGCATTTAACAATTTCACGCTCCTTGAGTGCTAAAGTTAGATTTTCATGGTGAACATCTTTAAAAAAAATAAAAAGCACTCTAGCGGTTTTGGCACAGTGGTATGAGAGTTGCACCACGGAAGAGATTGGGATCTCAGGTAACATTCCCAGAGACAACAGTGAGTACACTGTAGCCAACCATCATAGAGAGACAACACATGTTTTTTTCCATTATAATTTTTTGAAAATTTAATACTGACCATATCAACTACAACAACAGCAGGGCATACTCCAATTGCCAGGTAGAACATGATTTCCAGGAATTTGAATCTGCATATAAATAAACCATTGAGTGATTACATTAATAATACAAGAATATTTTACAATCACAGACAAGTGCAACACTAGCATAACTATGATAATAACCTTTCTTTTCGTCTAGAAGGTGGCGTGTGTACGTCACATTGCCAAGCCAATCACAGCTGTTATTCACAGAAGTGATTTCTTCCTCTTCTTGTCAAATACAATTTGTTTAGATGTAAATCAATACTTTTTTTTAAAAGCGTATTTTTGGCCAGTCGAAAACATAAAAAAAAAAATCATTTGTAGGAATTTCCAGGAAAACTGTTTTTTTTTTCCCTATGGGTTTCTGTCATGAAAGGATTAGGTTAAATAATAAGTTACTTTCCTATTATATTTTTGCAGATTAAATTCTAGAATTAACACGGCTTATCACTGAATTATCTCCCCTGTCATTATGTGTCGGGAAAAAAAAATTCTCGAAACAACTATAATGTCTCCTTAGTTAGTTATTTAGGTTATCATCAATGCACTCTGGATATGTTGATAAACAAATCATCTGTGGGCCTGGTATGCGTCTAATTTGTTGTTATGCCGATCTTAACTCCCAAGTCTATCATTCTGGCGAGTGATATGGATTCACTGCCCTCAAAATCCTCCACCCTCCACATTTCTCAGAGGGCATTACCAATATCAGCATGATCCATAGGTGGACCATCAGTAATGATAGCTGATCCAGCCAACCTATCAGTTCTTTCATTTCCACTGATGCCCACGTTTCCCGGAAAGAAAATAAAGGTGACACCACGCACAGTGACTTCTGTAATGACTCAAGCCACTGCATTCGCACCACACCTGCTTGTAGCCTCTGGATTATACTCATTGAATTATAATTGTGTCCTTGTAAACTATAACGACATAAAGGCTAACCTGGCCAACATATTTCTGAAGCAGTAAAGTTTGTCAGCCAAAAAGTGCATAACAAAATTAACTTGAATGGACGCAGCAGAAGAAGAAGAAACTATAACCAACAGTAAGACGTAAATGATCAATCCATGTAAATCATGAGTGTTACCCACCTTTCATGGTAAATATATGCATAGGAGACTCCAAGCAAGGCCATGATCCACACAATGCAGAGGGCTTCTTCGGCCCAGGAGTGAAACTCTTTCAGCACCAGCCTGGACAGATAACACAATCATGATATTCTCATAGGAGTGAAACTTTTCCAGATAAGACAGTAATGCCATGAAACTCTTTCAGCATCCACCTGGACAGATAAGACAGTAATGCTTCTTCAGCCCAGGAGTGAAACTCTTTCAGCACCAGCCTGGACAGATAAGACAGTCATGATATTCTCATACACAACCCAGGAGTGAAACATAGCACCAGCTGGACAGATAAGACAGTAATGATATTCTCACATACAGCCCTGGGGTGAAACTCTTTCAGCACCAGCTTGGACAGATAAGACAGTCATGATATTCTCACACACAGCACCAGCCTGGAGAGATAACAGTCGTGATATTCTCACACACAGCACCAGCCTGGACAGATAAGACACATGATATTCTCACACACAGCACCAGCCTGGACAGATAAAACAGTCATGATATTTTCACATACAGCCCTTTAAAGCACAACTTTTATCAATTTGTGCATTTGAAAACAAGCTGTCAAGAAAGTAAAATATTTGCCAAGACGTGCCCCCTCTTCGACACCCCCCCCCCTCCCAAGCCCTAATGTAGCTTAGCTTCTCAACTAAAGGATGTTTAAGAGATTTAAATGAGAGAGGATTTACTTCATTGCTTTGGGCTGTATGCTACATGGCTCGGTCAATCTCAGTGCTGTGTGGACACCATATGATGACATTTTAAACTAAACACACAAGCTGGAAAGCATTAAAGCAAACGGCCTAACTAATTTGCTCCTAACACCCAGAAACTTATATCATTGTTATCTCTTTGTAGCTTCTTTCACACCATTCCCTAGTTATCAATATCTGTTCCTATGTAGTGTATATTTAGGTTTCATTATTTAATTTTTTATCCAGTACCATTCGTACATGCATTATGTTATGAAAATTTTAAATATGACCACTCGGTGAATCTAACAATGGTGTCCATTAAATTTTCTGCAGTAACCTATGATTTCTTCTCAACTTTGCCACCCCTCCATTACTATATGTTGTTGTTGTTTTTTTAAATTATAAAACCATGGGAGATACTGCTGTAAAACAGGAAGTGTTGGAACTTGAATAAATAAGTCATCACATTATATGGTGGGGTGACTAACACTATCCACTAATTTTTTTTTTAAATCTGTATCCCCCCACCCCAAATCCAGTTGTAAATGGATTCTCCTCCTTCTTCCCATATTTCCGGCTGCAAATTCCAGGAGAAAATTGTGATTGTTCATCCATTTCTGGACTTTGGTCTTGTTCCAGATCATGGGCTTTGTGTGTACATCCATTTAACAGATATGGCTTATTTGTATGTGGGCCATGGTTGCTGGCCTCTTAGGCCCATGCGCTCCAACTTCAAAACAAACATCCTTAATTAATAGCTGTTAAGACACACTTGTTAGGGAGCAAAGGGGGTTTTTTCTTCTTATTCCCCCTCCCTAAAAGGAGCCCCAGAGCCCACATAGGGAATACATTAGGTACTAAACCTGAGGTGTCGTGGTTGTAAGATGGCTATCAATCCTTTTTAACTGTAGGTCTCCGTATGTGTTGAAAGTAAAATAACAATTGCCAAACTATTCAAAGGAAATCAGTTATTTACCATGGTGTATAGGAGGATGCAATAAACAGGTATATAACAGCTCTATCTCCAATGTGGAAAATGCGTCTCCATTTCCTGAAATCACAATTGTATAATTATTTACTCATCTCTGAGGAAAACATTTTACATTAATTTATGCTTGGCATCTTACACCCCTGCATTTCTTTTTTTTTTTTCAACACAGTGCCGCAGAACTATGGTGAGCACAGGTTATTAAAGATTTCTTGGACATGAAAGTGTACTTCTTCTTTTTTTACTGGCTGTAAGCTCTGGCAGAAAGTCCTAGTTGTTCATCCACTTTGGCTTTAAGCCTGAGTTATGAGTGTACATCCATTTTACTGACTTATTTGTGTACAGTTGGTTGTTCTTTGCCACTCTGGAAGATGTACTCTGGCTTCAAAGGAAGCTACCGACTACTTGACTCTTATGATTTGCTTGTTGGGGAGGCAGTGGGTCTATTCTTGTTTTTCCCCAAAATGGGATCCTGAAACCCACACAGGGAGCAAATTTACAAAACAGGGAGTGTTTGAGTCTTTCCTGTAGACTGTGATTCAAGTACATTAATTTACTTCTGCATTCATCTTTAAAAGGGTGGTTGGCACATTGTACTGTGGTTTACAGTCAGTAAGTCTGCGTTATCTAAATCTTTCAGCCCATCACATTCAAATTCAGAAAAATCTTGATCAGTAAACTTTTAAGACATGATTGTTAAGATGGCAATGGGTCTATCAACACTCTTTCCCCAAGAGGTTCAGAAACCCACGTGCAACAGCCTTCCATGTTTCTGTCTTAATGCCAAACAATTTGAGAGCTGTTTTAAAAGTGTCATTGTAGCGGTTTTTTTTTTTTGCCCACCTGCTTTTCCTGTGCTGGAATTCACCATAAAATATTATCTTTGGAAGCTGATGGTCTGGCATGCGGATTAGGTGACCAGCCCAGCAGAGCTGATATTTCTTTACTAGTGTGTGGATGCTATGCAGATTTGCCCTTACTGAGAACCACGTAGTTCAGAATCATGTCCTGCCCTTTGAGTGGATAAGCAGAACCTCAAAGAAGAACCACAAGGTTCTAGCCAGTGTGAGACCATACTGTGACCTCAGTCATCATCATTCTTTATGTGTTGTTCGACGTGACATAAGGCTTGCATTTGATTCTTCTACTCCATTTTACTGAATGCAACTTTTATGTTCTTTTTAATGTTGTCCTTGGACGTCCTCTTTTTCTCAGACTTTGTTTCCTATTTCAGTGCCTGTTTTGTAATTCTTTGCTCATTTCATCTGTGCCCAATATATCTGCACCTTCTTTGTCTTATGTGACCTCAGTGGCCTAGGTAGGAAAAAACAAACAAGGAAACACTCATGAATTATATAACAGGTGAGTACTTACTTGAATCGACCTGTGTAGGAGAGCATGTGGAAAATAGTGGAGGTGGTAAAAAGAAGCACTAGAGCGGACCCATACACTAGAGTTGCGGTCTTCTGGAGGGAGGTGGCTGACATACGCACCATGAAAGCAAGTGCCAAGATGCTGGGTAAAATCCACACCTGGCAAAATGAATAGAACAGGTGATTAATAATGTAAAAAACCTCGTGCTGTGGAAGAATTTAGGCACAATCAGTCATACATAAATCAATGAAATCATAGCGATGTTTCTTCTTTCTCTGGCCTTTATCTCTCACTGACTTCTGGATACTTACAATGCATCAGTAACTGAGTTTTCATAATTCGTAACTTGACTTCTGCTTATGATAGACCTATTGCGTCGCCGCCCACACCCCCCCTCCAACCTCCTGAAACAAGCATGTCATAAAAGGTGACTAATTAGGGTTACCTGAAGATGTATTGGGGAAAAAAGCACAGATATCACAGCCATGCTGTAAACCACAAGAGAATGTGTCAACCACCCACTTAAGGGCGAACACAGTAGTATGAGCTCTCAAAATATGAGCCCTCTAGAACTTTGCACTGTGATTGTCACTCAGAGATGGCTATGGCAGCATAGTGGACAATGAATTGGTGAAGGTTCAAATATTAGTTAATGAGGGGCCCTTTTTAGTTCAGTCCACTTAAAATGATTTCCAGAGAGTGAAACAACTTATGCCAAGCCCTTTGCAAACTCGTTCATGGCTGGTTGAACTGCAAAGCTAAAGTTACCTTTAGGACAGCAAGATCTCCAGGGCAAAGGGTCAAACCGTTTACCTCATGCTCTAAAGGTCATGGGTTTGTTTCACGGCTACATTGTTTGGTTCATGAGATCAATTTTTTAGAGAGATCCTAGCAGACGTTAGTGAAAGCTATACAGTTCGTGTTTTGTGTGACACTCTCGTCAGGCGGATAGCCCTTCTGCTGAGAGAGATAGTGGGATTCAAGGTCGGACAATTAGGTAATGAGACTTATTTGATTATGGTCAAGGCAAAAAAGGCCATCTAATAAGCAAAGCATGGAATCCAAAAAGGCACCCTTTATCTATGATCTGGCAATTTTTCACCGGCGTCTAATAAACAGACAGCAAACAAGCAGCCATTCTTTTTACCTAGTCAGAGGTGCATTGTTACGTAATCAGCATGACCCCCCCCCCCCCCCCCCCCAAGCCAACATTAAATTCTGTTTAAAACTCAAAAAAAGCGCCACTGAGACAGCTGAACTAATGCAACAAGTTTATGGGGATAATTGTTCATTTTGTGCATAGATTTTCAGGTGGTATTCATGATTCAAAAGTGGTGTGGAAGTGATTACGAATTTCTGTTCGTAATGAGGATATCATTGCAAAAGTCAGAGAACGGATACAAGAAGATCATTTTTTTTACTGTAAGGATGATGGTAGATGAATTTGGTGTTGATGGAGAGACCATTCGTAAAATTTAAGTGCAAGATTTGAGCGAGAAAAAAAAAAGTTGCTTGCTGGTGTGTACCTTCTTCATGACAATGCACCAGCTTACGGGGCGGTAGCTGTATGAGAATTTGTGGCCTTAAAATGAGTGTGTGTTCTCAACCATGCACCCTATTTCTCAGATCTCCTTGTGATTTTTTTCTATTCCCAAAATTAAAGTTACATTGAAAGGACGCTTCTTTGATGATACTGATGACATCAAAAGGGCAGTAACATCGACTTCAAGGGCCATAATGACAGAAAAACTAGAGGTCGTTCCAGTGTTTGTTAGATTGTGCCACTCGCTGTATCAATGCACAATGGGCTTACTGTGAATAAAATCGAGGTTATATCTTCAACTGTTGATGATTTAAATTTTTATGGAATTAGTCTCATTACTTAATTGACGGACCTTGTATAAACAGGTGCAACGAAGTCAATCCTCTCGACTTGAACTTCAATAGGATGATGGAGCAGTTTCATAGAAACCCTTCTTAGTTCTTCTTAAGGCATTCTCAGTAGATTATAGTGTTAATATTCTCGGCTTTACAGTAACACACACAGGCAGAAGGCACAACTACAATGTTACATTTATTTAGTAAACCCAAGCACTCAAAGTAAACAAAATTCTGCTTTGCATATTCTTAAACAATCAGTATACTTTGTGACTCCTATGTCACTCAGTTCGACTCTTGATTCTCAAAACATGAACTGTTTGATATTTGCTCTACTAGACCCCCCAATCAGAGAAGTTTGCAAAGACATAAAACTGTATTCAGCTAGTCCTAAATAAACAAACTAGGAAGGATTGGAGGTCCAGGACCAATATAAGGAAATAAGGTTATGCAGCTTAAATGGGCATACACCAGTTCAAACTCAATCAAACAGCAACCACTATTCCACAATGTGGAAATAAAGAACAACAATGATCCTAGTCATACAGTCTGCCATTACTACCTGTAATTACCACTTTTGTGGTGCAGGCAGCTGGGGGAGAGGGGGTGGGGGGTCCTTAAGACTGAACATTTAAAGCTGCCTGGCTAGTGCTGGCGCCACAGACTGTGCTGGTTAGGATTTTATTTTTGCCCCTGACAGGTAAAAAAGTAAAAAAAATCTCACAACCTTACCCAGTATTCGAACCCTGTTCTCCCACATGAGAGACTTGTGTTCTTATCCATTTGGTGAGCCGCTCCCCAATGATCTTAGTACTGACAATAAAGTCAGTACTGACTGTACAAAGAAATACAGAACTGACACAGCACAGATAACAAGCTCTACATATTTCCACATACAGACAGACAACAACAGTGGAATAAACTAACCCCATGTGAGATGACATTTGCCAGATGCTCTACGTCTGTAGGCTGGTACTGTTCACCAGACACTGCACGGGTGTTCATTAACCTGTTGTTGATGTTTTTTTTTTTTTTAAAGTTAAAACATTAGGTGAAAATGACTGTTTTAAAATTAAGACAAAAAGTTAACATAGCATAATGACAGTGCTGATTAATAAGAAACACTAAACACAACACAGGCTATCTTTACTTCCCAGCACTGATCCTGGTACCCATTATAGACTGGGTTGACCTGGGAGCAAAAGCCATTTAAAAAAAAAAAAGTACACTATGATGCAGATTCAAATCCAAGATATTCAGGTTGGCAGGCAAGCATTCAGCCACTGCACTATCATCGTGGCTCCCTGGCAAACTGACATATTATGGAACTATTACAGAAATACTAGGGACCCCTTGCCCTCTGGATCAGAGCCACTGACGATATCCCTCCATGCCACTGTTGCAATCCATTTGTTATCACTCTCTCGATCTGCCTCTCCCTCTTCTACTGTTGATCTTCCCAACACCACATTATTCTCCAAAGCCTCCCGGCTCATCACATGACCAAAGAACAGTGTTTGTCATTTAGTTATAGCTGTATACATTGATCTGCTTTCGTTAGCTTCCTTCAAGCAATTCTTATTAGTTACTCTGGCAGTCCAAGGGATTCTTAACATTTGCCTGAAAAACCACATCTCCGTCGCCTCCAAATTCTGTCTAAATTGTGTATTGACATTCCATGATTCACTACCAAACAGCAATAGAGGTTTTACATTACAATATAGCATAATGCATAGTAGCAACATCAGATATCCAAAGACATGGACCTGTTGCACAAGATGTTTTTCATCCTGTGAAATTTAGCCTTTGCTTGGCCTATACATGACAAATAAAATGAAAATAACATAAAAAAAATATTATGCAAAGACATTTCACATTTTAAAACAGCAAAGATACCTTGAATAGTAGTCAGAGCTGTGAGAAATACGACGCAGCTTGCTTTTAACCATGATGAATCAGCCGACCCAAACTGTGACCACAACACCAATGTTTGATCTGACTCCAAATGAACGGGTCGTCACCAGAAATGTGTGGAAACTGCCATGGCAAGTGCAGTCTTTGTTGTCCTGGAGATGAGTTCTTTACTGGGCGACATGATTGTGTGTGTTAAACAGCACTTCCTGTGTAGAATACAACATTCAGAATTTGATTCTACTGTTTTATTCTGCTTTTTTTTAACCACTCCATCTCGTCAGATGCAAAATTTTGAGGGACAGTCCTATACTCTAGGGGTGTTATGACATGCATTCATTCGCTGAGTGTATACAATGGGCCAAAAAGTGTCTTGGCTTTGTTCGACTGGGTTGATACACTGTCTTCAACACAAAAGTGCACAGCTTTCTTTTCTTCCAGACGAAAGTAGGTAACTGTCTTGTTTGTGAAAGACTGTTCAAGGTGTAGAATTAGATGCAGCAATACTGACAGGTGAGGGAAATTCACGATGAAGTCCAGTCATGAAGTAAGAACAGCGCTTACACACAGGGCAGAGTGAGGTTGAAGAATGAATGAACGTAACACACAGTGGAAATAATGACGCAATAAACAATAGCAACGGTGAAAACAAGCAACATATCAGACACAATACAAGAGTTGTAGTGTTTTAGGGTTAGTGTTAAATGTACAGTGACTAAGACTAACCCTGCCCCCCCCCCCCCCCCCAATAGGACTGTCCTGAGAAATTCCTTATTAAATCTCGCACCTGACAAGATGGGGTGAAAAAGATGAATAATAATACTACTTATAGATATTTGATACAACTTTTAAAATGTTAATAAATGTTTTTTTATTTTTTTTATTTGCACCATCTCAACAATGGAGGTTGGTTGCAGAGGATCCACTGATGTTTTAGGGAACACTACAGGGCAATATCCCAGTCTGTTCCCCAGTGAAGAAAGAAATAACACCTAAGGCACTTGAGGCATCAATTACACTTAGTGAACTGGAGTTGGCCATTTCAAAGCACAAAAGTCATTAGGAACAGATGGTATATCCATGAAATGATCAAAAACCTAGGAACAATAGCCAAAACTTTTACAGATATTAAATGCTTGCTGGACAACAGGAAAAGTTCCACAGATCTGGACAGAGGTAATTATGATACCTCTCATAAAATCTGAGAAAGACAAGTTCCAATGCCTCCAACTACAGACCGATCAGCCTTACCAGTTGTCTCTGTAAAATAATGGAGCGCATCACTAACCTCAGACTACAGTGGAATATTGAAAGTGAAAACATCATTACACCACAGCAGGCGGGCTTTAGTGAGATTTTCTCTATGGAAAACAACATACCTTTCCCAAGAAATAGAGGATCCTTTTCAAGATAAACTGGTACTTGTGGCATGCACAAATTTGTGGAAAGTTTTTGATACAGAAGGAGAGGCTGTTGTAGAAACTGAGAAACTATAAAGTGAATGGAAGGATGCATAACTGGATTAAAGCATACCTACATAACAGAAGAGCCTGGGTGCTGGTAGATGGTTTCAAGAGTAAAAAAGTCCTGCTGCAACATTGCATCCCCCAAGGAGGTGTCCTGTCACTCACACTTTTCCTCTTATACATCAACGATCTGGTTGCTGAGATACCAAATAAAATCAAAATGGCAATGTATGCCGATGACCTGGTACTGTGGTGCACCAATGAACATGCAATGGTAACTACAAAAAAAAACTAGTGGGCTACAGATGCACTTGGGGCAGGGCCAAATAGATGGTGTGTTAGCATTAACACAGACAAATGTATCACCACTCTTCATCCTCTCCCTAAAGCAAAAGGCAGGCATCATCAAAATAAATGGAATACCACTAAGAGATTATAAAGAGCCCAGATACCTCGGGGTCACATTTGATGGCAGGCTCACATGGAGAAAACAAATCAATAAGGCGACCACCAAAGCCAGGAGGAAGACAGTCACACTAAGAACACTAAGTGGAACAATATGGGGAGCCAGTCAATAAAATATACAAACAGAGCATACAACCATACTTGGAATATGAGTCAACTGCGTGGTGTTCAGCATCCAGTACCATATTAAAGGAGTTGGACAAAGTGAAAATCGAGCACTTAGAGTCATCACAGGAAGGATGAAATCAACCTCTTTATTAGAAATGGAGAAAGCTGGGAAAACACAGGCACTGAGAGAATGCAGAGATACAAAGTTGCAAATACAAGCTGAAAAGTTCCTCAGTATTCCAGATCATCCCATGAAGAACAGATTTAAGAACATAGCTTTAGGACAATTAAAACGAAGCAGCTTTATACATCAAGCAAAAGGAATATAGACAGACAAACTACTGACCTTCCTGAAATTGGTTGTAAACTGAAAAGTATTTCAGAACAATAACCATGGAGAGAAAAATGAAAACTAGCAGTACAAATCTGGACAAAGGTAAAAGAATATCTGACAAGAAAGAACAAGATAGTATACAACACAGCAGTATACACCCTCAGCTTTACTGATGAAGAATATCCACAAGAATAATGGGTTCAAGTCTATACAGGGTCTGCACAAAATGCAGTTAGAAATGGTGGTGCAGGAGTGTACAGAGAATTCCCAGATGGCACAAGGGATAAGTCCAGTGTACCAACTGGGAAGTACTGTCATAACTATGATGTAGAAACTGAGGCTATCAAGATAGCAACAGAGAAACTGCTAAATACCAAGCTTGGTTCAGTCTGTGGTAATGCTGACAGATGTAAAATACATACTTGAAGCACTCCAGTCTGGGAAACTACAAGAATTGAAAACGCTACTGACACAACTCAGCTGTCAGCAAAGAGTTGCAATGCACTGGATACCGTTCCATTGTAGAGTGCCTGGAAATAAGAAAGCTGATCAATTGGCAGTGGGAGGTGCAACAAAGAGCAGCTGGGTGTACCAGTTACTTATCACCAAATGAAAAGAATCATTAAATCAATCAGGAAACCACCTGTCCCAGCATAAGACAACTATTTTATTATGGACAGATTCAGTCATTATCCTTCGCCTCAGAACAGGGCACAACCGATTACGTAACAACATGTACACAAAAACTCAAGATAAGCATATCAGCCCTGTGCACCTGTTGAAAGGCACCCCAGACAGCAGAACATGTACTCCAGGATGGCCCCGCATTTGACAAATTAAGGCAAACCTTTTGACCAGAAAGAACAACAGTGAAACGTAAACTCTATGAAAAACTGAATGAAGTAAAAATGACAGTGAAATTTATATGAGAGACAAAATTGCTGATACAGACAACTCATTTCAGGCGAATGAAAGAAAGAAGAACACACCCTAGCATATCTGCTGTGGCCTAACATATGTGAAGGTCTGACATTTCACACACAAAGACAGCGCCTGCTATGGGACTATCACTATCTTTACCTTTTCTATCTGAAATCCTTGTTATTAAAGTGCCGAAATACTTGAACACACTGACCTGCTTTAGACTGAGACTCTGATGATATATTCTGAAGGGCATTCGTTCTTTAGCATAAAGAATATTTTTTAGTTTGAAAATTTTTTTTGCAGAGTTTACTTTTTAATTTATTAACAGAAAAACCTGAATTTTGTTTCCTATTTTTCATATTTACAGTATTCAGAAAAGTATAAAAGATCACTGTACTAAGCACAACAGCCATTTTCATCACACATTCTTGAGAGAATAAACTAATATTAATAGTAAAGCATACTTCATTACTTCTTGCACAAATAATTTTGTATTACAATTATTCTAATCCCTATCCTTACCTGTATGTATTGGTGGCTCTTACTATGCATGTCTGCATTTTCCCGTAAATTACCACTGAGCAAAGGTGGCACTTATGTTTTCATGTCTATCTAAACCGTCATCGGCTATCCTCCGAACTTCGGACGCTAAAGATGGCGGCCGCAAAATATCCTTTCGAGCCACAGTCTCGTGACTTAATTTGCAGTTCTCCGGCGGTTTTGCGGTGATTACCGCCACGAGTCCCCCACGACGCTCTTGCGCCATGGATTGGGGCTAAACTAGATGGCTAAGACTCATGAGCAAAGCTTCAGGAGATGCAGAAGCTGCTGCTCGTGGGTCCTAGCCATCTAGTTTAGCCCCAATCCAAGCCGCAGGAGCGGCGTGGGGGACTCGTGGCGGTGGCGGTAGTCGCACTGGAAAACCGCAGGAGAATTAAGTCGCCGGAAGTGCGCAATTGACACGTGACTGTGGCTCAAAAGGATATTTTGCAGCCGCCATCTTTAGTGCCCCAAGTTCGGAGGATAGCCTCTTCATCAGACTGACTGTCAGCTGTCTTATCTGAGGTTGGGCGTCCGCCAGCGAGCTACCACTAAAAAAATCTGGTAAAACCAGATAATATTATTACCAACAGTGAATAAAAAATATAATAATATATAACCCTGAAACCATGTTTCCAAATTCACGTGATTTATCTATTATTTATTATAATATTAGCAATAGGTATAGTAGTATTTAACTTTAACAATTCATTTTGTAATAAATATTTTTTTTTTTAAATAAATTAATTCCGTAATCACTAACTTAGCAATGTAAAATCACTGATAATATCAATAAAGACATTCATAGTTGAACCAAAAGTCAAATGACCTTCTTCCCCATACTAGACTGTGACGATTCTAAATTATCAACTATCCAGCTGTATATCTTGGAAATGTCACAATAAAATGACTGAATGGCACCTATGGCTTTTTAAAAAATTTTATTTTCACTAAAATTTTAAGTATCAAGATCAATATTATACCGCGTTTGAGTTGCAAGTTAAATATTCGTTAATCAGTTTATTAAATATTCTCAGACTAGTAATGCAGCGTAAAGTTAAAATATACCTACGCTGTCTGTGTTTCTGAACACCCTAGGCTGGCACTGAACAGACCAGTTTCATTTACACCCACATTTTTTTCACGTCTGCCCAAAGGGCAAGGCTATCCCAGCGGCTATCGCTAGGTAACTTGATTATTG